TGGCTCATACCCTCCATTGGATCATAACCTTGTAATGGTGGAAGGGCTTGTGTGATCCTGTGATCCTGTGATCCTTGTGTGATCCTATGTTGTCTGGAGGCTAGTAGTCCTGGAAAGGTTTCCCTTGGCAAAACAGTCTGAGGCAAGGCTCCAGACGATTAATGACCCCAACAATGGTCACTATTAAGACAGAGAGAACCTTGCTTGGAACAGGGATCCCACCCCTGGAGCCAAGCACCTGGTGGCCAGGCGACCTATGTAACCCAGTCGGGCTCAGCCTGAAATGGCTGTGTAGAGCCGTTTGTGGGCCTAAGGTAAAGAGTGGGGGTTAGGTGTGATGCCAGATTGGCAGCGATAGGGATAGACCTAGACGGACTGGACCTTGGTGATGGAGGGAGCTTGTGGGACGTGGAATGTTACTTCACTGGTGGGGAAAGAGTCTGAGCTTGTGGAGGAGGTTGAAAGGTACTGACTAGATATAGTTGGTCTCAGCTCCACGCATAGCATTGGCTCTGGAACCAAACATCTCGAACAGGAGTGGTCTCTCTCCTACTCCAGACTGGACCTATCTGAGTGGCCCCAGGCAAGTGTGGGCTTGCCCAGGACTCACAGGTCCCAAACTGGGTGCCACACAGTTGGAGTTTGTTACTGTAGACGAGAGAGTCACCTCAATGAGGCTTCATGTCTCAGAGACTGTAATCTGTGAGTATGTGCCGAACAGCAGGAGAAGGTGGGTATGGTGCTCAATAAGGTGCAGCCTACCAACTCTGTAATCTTATTAGGAGTCTTCAACTTGCACGTAGGGAACGAGGGAGATACTCGGAGGGGTTGATTGGGAGGAACAGCCTCTCTGATCTGAACCTGAGTGTTTTTGGACTTCTGTGCTAGTCATGGATTGTCCATAATAAACACCATGTTCAAGCATAAGGATACTCATAAGTGTACTTGGTTCCAGAGCACCTTGGGCCAAAGGTCGATGATTGACTTTATAGCTGTATCATTGGACCTAAGGCCATATGTTTTTGGACACTGGAGTGAAGAGGGGGGCACAGCTGTCAATTGATCACCACTTGTTGAGGTGGTGAGTTGGACCAGATGAACGGGACACCGGCCAGATAGACCCGGGAGACGCAAACAAGCATTGAAGGTCTGCTGGGAATGTCTGTTGATGCTGAGAGGACTAACTCCCACCGCCGGACGTATTTATCCTGTATCCCGAGTGAGGCCAAGGACAATGAGTCTGAATGGACCTTGTTCAAGACCTCAATTGTGGAGGCAGCCTCAACTAGCTGTGGCATGAAGCTGGTTGGTGCCTGTCAAGGGGGTAATAGAATTACTATTGGATGGCTTCAAATTTGTTCTGGCAAACCATTTGGTGCCTTAGGAGGGGACAGCAGGCCAGCACTCAAGGTGTTTTCAGCAAGGGCGTTGAAACACTGTCCACTACTGGGGAGATTGTTAAGAGGTGGAAGGAACATTTTGAGGAACTCCTCAACACAGTGGACATGCCCTCCGTGCAGGAGGCAGTGCTGGATAGCTCCGGCGATATCGGATCTATAGCTATAGCTGAGGTTGCTGTGGCGATTGAGGGTCTCCATGATAATAAAGATGCAGGGGTAGACTAGATTCTTCCGAAGATGTTGAAAGCGCTGGGCAATTTTGGGGTGACGTGGCTGATGTGCCTCTTCAGTGTTGTGTGGAAGGCGGGTACAGTTCCACTGGATTTTTAAACTGGGGAGGTGGTCCCCATCTTCAAGAAAGGGGACTATAGGGTGTGGACCAACTACAGAGGGATCACACTTCTCAGCCTCCCTGGTAAAGCCTATGCCAGAGTGCTGGTGAGTAGTACGATAGGAGGAACAGTGTGGATTCCGCCTGGGCCGTGGAACAACGGATTTGCTCTTTGTCCGTTCACAGATATTTGAGGGGGGCATTGGAGCATGCCAATCCAGTCTAAATATATTTTGTGGACTTGGAGAAGGCATACAGTTGTGTCCATTAAAAATGCACATCAAAGGTAAATTGATCCTACGATTTAATGCGGTATCTTGCGGAATCACGTGTATGCTGTGGGCACAGGAAAGACAGGACCAGTAGGGGGCAGTCATGTTTAATTTGAATAAACACGGCTCGCTAGAAGATACAGTAGTTCTGCCTGGACATTTACTGTATACACATACATTCTTTTACCAACCAAACGGTGCTGTTTCTTGTACTGAAGCCCATGATCTGCTTGTGCTTGGCCTGTGGATCTGTGAATTTTTCTCAGAACCGTTATGCAACAAGCGGCAGCAAACATTAAATGTTGTGCCTCAAAAAAATGGAATGTGTGGTTGGTTAGATTTAAGAAAAATTATTACGTATTGTTACGTAGTATAGGTAAGTACAATAATGTATGTATTAAGGTATGTGTGTTTGTGTACCGTAGCGTTAACATGCAGGTTTAGCATACCTGAAATTGGGGTACGAGTCACAGCTCAGTGTTTTTGATTGAGTGGGTTTTTTTCACTGTAGAAAGTTCCTGAAGGTAATGCTGAATGAATTCCATCTTCTCCTTTATAGTCAATGGAAACTTTTGTTCTTTTCTAGATGAAAAGTTATTTAAAAACTGGTTTAAAGTGAACACAGAAGTCCACACACTTAAAAAAAATGCTCATCGGTTCCACATGATTGAATTGAGTTAAATTGTACTGTACTGTACTGTACGATTAAAATTAAACCAAATATTCAAACATTTTATGTATTAATTTAAACACGTGGCATCATTTATCAAATGTTTTGTTACAGAAAGAGCATATTCACAAGGTGATTTACACATCCTGATTATCACAGATACTCAGAGGTGGCTAGTAATATACTTCATTACATTTACTTTTATTTAAAAAATAAAGACTTTTAACAGTTAACTGGCCATACTTATACTCTTACTCAAGTTCATTTTAAATAAAAAGATAAAGGCAATAAATAATAATAATAATAATAATAATAATAATAATAATAATAATAATAATAATAATAATAATAATAATAATAATAATACATGGCCACTTATGGCTTCTGTAGGATTGTGTCCAGCAACAAAGAAATTCTTTATGTTTTTGAAGAGGATGGGATTCTCCAACTTTTTCACCACTTACTTATTGCCTTATGGATCCACCCCCAAACTATTATCACCTTTCAGCAGTGCTTCTCTTTTAATAAAATTTTCTTCCACTGTGATGTCATAGACTGCAAATACGTACAAATTGCTTGACCTGGATAGAATTTCTATTAAATTAAAATTATTTATAGAAGTTTTATGCTTCTGCTCCTCCCCTTCAATTTGAGGAGCCAAAAGATAAGATGATAATTGCTTATTAATCACCCAGTACATTTGCATGTATGCATATAAATGTTGTGTCCATACTTAATTTGTTTACAACTTTAAAAAAAAAAAAAAAAGAAACAGAGAAAAAGCATACATATTTTGCATACTTATGTTTAGTATTTGTACATATTTTTTACTGATTTGTACTTTCATATTTCTCTGCTTAAAGACTTCTAAGGCTTATGTGGCTTCTCCAGTTTGCTCCCACCTCTTGAAAACATGCCACTTAATGGTTTGAATAAAAGTCTGACTTGTGAGTCTATCGTAACCGTGACCAGGATAAATGTGTAAATGATTGAATGACTTGTTTGAGCATGGTTCTGATGCTCAAACTGACATATAAGGAACAGTAAACATCTAACGTTTGACAAATGATCCTAACCAATAACTATTTTTTGGATGAAACCCTTGGAACAGAAACATGTGCAATGAAATAATTTTAATCACATTTCCATGATATCAGTGTAAAGATATGCAGTTATTAGAACATGCAGTTAACAGTACTGTTCCCCACGTTCTTGGCAGCCATGAGAGAAGTAGAGCTTCCCCTTGTCCTAAATATTACTTTTACCCCTGAGACTTACAGATGTACATCAAATGTTTTGAAATAAAAACATACTGGATTTTGCGAGTATATTTATTTTGCTAACTTATTTTTAAGTATGTATATTCAAATTTTGGCATGCATACTTAAGATTCTAGTATGCATGCTTAAAAAAATAAGTATGCATACTAGAATTTTAAGTATGCATAGTAGAATTTAATATATTTAAATAAATATACATCTCAGCAGCACTTCTCTTTGAGTAAAATGTTTTTGCCGCCACTGCGTTGTCGTAGACTGTAAACACATACAAATTACTTGACCCGGATAGAATTTATATGACTCTAAAGGTTTTATGCTTCTGCTCATCCCCTTCGATTTGATGAGCCAAAATATAAGATGATAATTGCTTATTAATTGTCCAGTACATTTGCATGTGAAGACAAAGCTATTGAAGCTGCAGCATAAAAAAGATTTTAAAAAGTTAATGGTACTTTCAGAAACTAAAAAAACAATTCTTGGTCACAATTGTAACTGGTGGGACAGTGAAATAGGCCAGTAAGAAATTATCAGCTGCTCAATAAGACTCATTATAAAATTGAAAACAATATAGAAACATATTTTTCCCCTAGCATGAACAATATTCGTTCAATAATCTTAAGATGGAAAAAGCCGAATAGGCATTGTATTGTCATGTCATTGTAATGTATGTGTCATTGTAAAATAATGTAACAAAGCATACCTTTATTTTTTGATCTACAGTTAAATAAAAGTTAAATTGGAAAATTAAATGGTAGGCTATAAAATGCACCTATTTCTGGACATTGCTTGATCTAAATATTCTACTTAACAAATAAAAATCACGAACATGACACTTGTGAATAAAACAATTTTATGTATTCAATTAAAAATATATATATAATATAGTTGTCTTGAATATCTCTGCAGCTCATCAAAAATATAAATGGGGTGTCCCTCAACTGAAAGCATGCTGTCGGAGTTAGTGTCAGTGTTGTTCACGTGGAATTCATCCAGTGTTACCTCGATGAAGTTTCTACAGTGATAAAACCCGCTCATTTAAAAATCAATTAGAAGAGCTGAGGCTCAAACCCTGGTCACTGGTATAGTAAACAAACATGTTACCACTGCACTATTCTAGCACACATATAAAACCTCCTTAATACAATAGTTATTGTACCTGTACCACAAGACTCGATCACGCTCACTTTATATTTTAAATAATCTTGTAATTAGAAACTTGTTTAAATTAGGTTTATCATAAGTTTTGATGAGAAATGTAATATTTTTAAGTGAACCATTCGACCACACATTCCATTTTCATTGTACTGTGTTCAGCTACATTATGTTGTTCCATGCGCCACCTGGTGGTTATTGTGTGAAGCATGTAAAATTAATTTAAATTCTTAGAGACGTGCCTGCAGTATACCACGTGATCACACTTGACGAAGCGGGTGATACCAAGTTACCTGCTCCAGCTGCCTTTAGTGGAGGAGTTTAAGTTCCTCTGGGTTTTATTTACGAGTGATGGAAAGGGGGAGCGTGAGATTGACAGGAGGATTGCTGCAGCATCTGCAGTATTGTGTGTGTTGTATCGGTCCATGATGGTCGGAGCTGAGTCCTCGGAATCCTCAGCTATGGTCATGAACATTGGGTAGTGACAGAAAGGATGAGATCACAGGTGCAAGCGGCAGAAATGAGTTTTGTCCACAGGGTTGCTGGACTCACCCTTAGGGATAGGGTGAGAAGTTCAAAAGTCTTGGAGTAGAGTCGCTACTTCTCCAGATCGAGAGGGGCCAGTTGTGGTGGTTTGAGCATCTGGTAAGGATGCCACCCAGGAAGCTGCCTATGCAGCTCTACCAAGCATGCCCCACCGGGCGGAGACCCCGAGGCCCACCCAGGACCCGCTGGAGGGACTATATTTCCTGGGTGGCCTGGGAACGCCTTGGAGTTCCCCAGGAGGTGTTGAAATCATTTGCTGCAGAAAAGGAGGTCTGGTCTGCCCTACTTAGTATGCTGCCACCGTGACCCTCACCAGGACAAGCGGTGTACAAAATGGATGGATGGAAAAAATATGGATGGATAATTTATCTAGTATATCTGACCAATTTTCAGCATGTTTAGATAGATAGATAGGTATACTGTAGATCAATCAGAGCAAGGTTGATATAACAGCTGATCTGTATTCCAAATGCAGGACCAGAGGATTAAGCAGCAACGGTTGGTCTTGAAGAAGGAAAGAGAAACAGCAGAGAAGATTGCTGCTAGAACATTCACTCAACATTATCTTGCTGACCTGCTTCCCTCAGTCTATGCAAATCTGAGAGACCATGGATATTTCTATGACCCAGTGGAGAGAGGTATGTTTCTAGTTTATTGTAATGCAAGTACTTAAAGGGTTTTAATTAAGACTGCATTAAATCTGAGACGAATCAGCATCTGCAACAAAATGCTTTGTTTTGTACCCAATATATAAAACCTCTTGCCTTCAGATCAGTCAGCAGAGATAGACCAGATGTGAGCCACTTTGTTCTCCCAATTTATCAGTATACATTATATAAATAATATATATAATAAGTATATATTATATAAATATATAAATAAATATTAACAAATAAATCATACAGTATCATCCATAAAACGACATATTGCATATCTATACTGCAAAGTTCATGAGAAGAAATCGGCAATCTAACAACATATCTCATTTGTAAGTTGCTTTGGATAAAAACGTCTGCTAAGTGAATAAATGTAATGTAATGTAAATGTAATTTATTAATGTAAGCCTAGTACAATATAAATATGCCACTTCAGAAAACCTTTAAGTAGATATAAACGATTTAATGGTTTTATTTAATAACAAATTAAACTAACAAATTAAATGTGGCTACTAAATGCAAATCAGGTAGTTAATATGTCCAAATATAGTGCCACAACGAGGAATCAGCCAATATGAACACTATGTCCTAGGGTGCTTATACATTTGACTTTAATGTGCACAAGGAAACAGAAAACTGGTTTAAAATATCCGTACAAAATTAATGTGTCAAAGAAGACAGAAAACACATTAGTTTTCTGATAAGTTATGTCAGCTAGGCAGCTATTTCTACCATTAAAATATTAACATCTGTAAATGAACTCTAATCATGCTGTGCCAAGATGCACACAATACAAAAAATATTGTGCCACTGCTGCCATCTCATGTGTCATGCATCTCATTTTCCATCTAGAAACCGTGTTTTCTTTAATGTGATCTATACTAATTTTCAATACAACAGACATAGAGACTGGATTCCTTCCCTGGCTGATGGCAGAAGTCAGCAATACTTTGGAAAATCAGCATGTTGCACGAACAGTGCTTGACAGTGAGTATGCATTTACCATTGTAGTTTACTCTACATCAAATGTGAGGTTTCCTTTAGATAGGTTACTGTGTTTCTCTATAACGGATTGAATTTTTTTTTCTCATCAATCTGCAAAAAAAATTCTCCATAAACATTAATTTGATTAATGTGAAGAAAAAAAAAACCTAATCACGTTCACACAAATCAGACTCTTCAGATCATTTGTTGTGACAGTTGAACTTGAGTTTAGGTACAAACAGTTTCTTCAGACTGTAGGTATTGGGGTTTTTTTTCCTATATTTGATGATGGTTGAAGATGTTGCTTTGAATGGTGTCTACGTACTTGTGCTTTAAAAGTTCCAATCTAAATGACCTTACTTTAGTATATCCTGGGTATTGGACAGAATGTAACTAAGCAACAGTGTGTGAACTTTTTTCAAATACATGTCACATCCCACTCTTTTCTTTTCTTTTCTTTTCTTTTCTAGCACTCATCCAAGACGTGTCCAATCAAAGACAGGAAGACTTTCAGATGTTCAGCTGCAAATGATGTTTTTTTGACTCTTGGTAAAATCCCATTGTACTCATAGTTTCCTAAATATGATAATATTTAAGGTAAAAATAAAAGTCCCACTATATTAAACAGGTATTTTATCATTTTTTTCCCCACAGTCAATCTTGATTCTTTATTGTTACACGTAATGAAAACACATGCACAAAAATCTCTAAAACAAACAAATAAACAAAAAAATCTAATATAATTTTAAAAAATATTAACAGAAACACATTATGTGATTCACAGCAACATTATACACAGGTAGTGGTACATATCCCAGAAAACATTCACTTTAATAACATAAAGATGTGATACAACCACATGGTTCTGTGGAAACAAATACTGATCCCTCCGCATAGATTCCCACTGCTGTACAAACACTATATAATGTAATACCCTGCTGAACTGTACAATCTTGACCTGCAACATTATATAAACAATATGCGAATGCTCTTCAGTCATATATTAAATAGACCTAACCATAAAGCATTGTAAGGGGGTCATGAGAGAAGACGTGAAAGTACACAAAGTGAAAATTTGACAGAGAATGCTATGAGCAGTAGCACTGATATTCTGATGATGTAAATAAGTTGACTTTTTCAAAGTGTTATTTTATGTTAAAAAGTGAAAATAGAAAAAGTAGTGCAAGTAAGGAGATTTTTATTGTTCATTTTAAATAATCTCTTGCATCATACTACATTGGACAGAAAAAAGCTATTTCCGTCATCAGGGGATAAAAGGAAACGGAAATAGTCTTCTGTTCGTGGAAAATCTGCAAACCTAGGAGTTAGGAGGTGTAAACAAATGAACTTTCCACTGTAATTTTCCCAACCTAAAGACTGACGTAACTTCTGGACTTAAGTTGTCAACTCGAATACTGTTGTTAGTACTGAACACCTGAAACTGAAAAAGCCAAATTAAGCCAAAGGTGCTTCAACAAAGTACTGAGCAAAGGCTGAGAATACTTCTGTACATGTGCTTTAATGATTTTTAATTTTTAATAAATTTTCAAAGATTTCAAACAAACTTTCATGTTGTCATTATGGGGTATTGATTGTAGAATTTTGAGGAAAATAATGAATTTAATGCATATTGGAATAAGGCTGTAACATAACAAAATGTGGTTGGGTCAGAAGGTGTTGATTAGTTCTCGATAACAGCAGCTCTGACAGTAGCGCTCTCGTTCTAGTATGTTGTCGTTTCTATAGTAACAGCTCATTTATACACACCACAAACATTAAAAAGAATGTCAGTTAACATTTACGGAAGGAGTCTCCAGTGTCGGTGCTTTGTAACAGTCTGGACTAAGGAGTTTATGCTTTGCAGTTTCAATAAGTTCAAATTTAGGAATAATAAATCAGGAGGTGCTGTTTATAGTAAAATAGTCTACCTTGGGGTGGACGCCACCTTGTCATCGATTATTGAAATAACAGCATGCCATGTCATGTTTTCTACCTCACTTAATACCATGAGTATTCACTAGACGTCACTAGACATCACTATAGTTCTGATCCTGGTTTCGATATGTATCTTAACTCCATAATGGCAGATTTCTGGACCGGACACTATATGTCTCATTCCAGCGGTTGCTCTCTTTGTGGTAGTACTCGCAGTTGGATGTGGCGCCTTTGTCGTTGGAGCCGCCAACCACGTACAAGCGGCTGTCCATCAGCTATAAGTAGAAGAAGATGGCATGGTGAAGAGGTACATGACTAATTTCATTAATTCATTCCAGTGCTTAGCGTTAGGAAATCTGATGGATCTAGCATCAGTAAAAGAAACGATAAATTAGATAGCTATGTGTTGTTTGGTGCTCTACCTCGACGCCAAAGTAGCTTCATGGTTTAAACATGGAGGCAAGCATCCTCCAGGAGTTGGTATGTGGGTTGTAGGCTTCAACGCTCTGCAGATTTTTGTCTCCATCGACACCCCGATCTGTAAAGCCATACATCTTATCTCGATTGATGTGTATTAATAAAATAACACAAACCATGCTAACAGAAATATGCCTGCTTCCCATCTTTTACAGAGCAATTACAGAAACTTAACTGACTCTCAGTGCTGGAAGTTCTTACAGCAAACACTCGGTTGTTCAGAGCGATGACACCCATGCCTCTTCTTGGGATGTGCATCCATTTGATTCGCATCCATTGATCGTAACGAGGCATAAAACACTCGGCTGTGAAAAGGGTCTCGGTTCCGTTGAGTCCTCCACAGATGTGGATCTAAAAAAACCCATAAA